CCTTGCTTTGGTATATATTTCTATTGCAACTTTAATAATATTTTTTTTAATTAAAAATGCTCCAGGTTGTCCTTATGTTTACAGCTGAGGCCAACATTCCTGTTGCTAAGCAACAGCTTAAATGAATTTTGCCTCATGTCATGACATTTCTTGCCACCGTTGTTAAGCGAATCACTACAATTGTTAAGTGAACCTGAATTCCCCGTTGACTTTGCTTTTCAAAAAGTCACAAAAGGTGATCACAGGACCTGCAACCCTTATAAATACATGCCAGTTGCCAACCAGAGGTGGCATTCAGCAGGTTCTGACCAGTTCTGGAGAGCTGGAAGCCGAAATTTTGAGTGGTTTGGAGAACTGGCAAATACCACCTATGACTGGCCCCGCCCCCATCTATTCTCTGCCCCCCCATTGAATCCCAGCTGATTGGCTGGGTCTTCTTTGGTTGCCCTGCACAGGAGAACGGAGCTGGAAAGCAGGTTAGTGGGGTGGGGAAGGAATGGGGATTTTGCAGTAACCTTCTCCCAGGAGTGGGGTGGAAATGGAGATTTTGCAGTATCCTTTCCTGCCAAGCCCACCAAGCCATGCCCACAGAACCGGTAGTAAAAATGTTTGAATCCCACTACTGTTGCCAACCATTTGAATTCTGAATCATGTGACAGTGGGGATGTTGCAGTGAAGAATGATCACATAAGTCACTTTTTTCAGTGCCATTGTAACTTCAAATGGTCCCTAAACAAATGATTTTAAGTTGAGGACTACCAGTACATAAATACTTCTGGCAAATAAGGAAAGGATCAGTATTTATATGTTGATTGCAGAAGTTTAGAAGAAAGAGCCCCAGTGGACAGAAGAATTGGAAGAAGTTCGCTTATATAAGTTTGGGCCTCCTGAGATTTTCCGCTCCAAACATCTCCTCCATATGCTGTCTTTAGATATTGTAGTGGCAAGAAAAGTCCTGTAGATGGCAGTGGTAGCAGCAAACTGCACTGCAGTTCTTAAACGGGCCTCTTCCCCTTACCTCACTCTCAGGCTGGTAAGTCCCGAACTAATAATTATATAACCTTGTACTTATCAACCAGATGTTATAGAGTTGTCACGAGCTGGCATATGATTCCACCTTCTAAGATCATTATTATTCCCAAGGATTAGTTAAAAGTTTCACCAATGCTGCATCTATTCTCCAAATGTAACCAATCCAAATGCTGTATCTATGTTGCCTTTGCCTTCTTGTATAAAACCCTATAAAAGGAATAAACACTACGTAGGTAATCAGACATCTTGGCACTCTGCACAATGACTGGTCTTTGATCACCACAAGATATGTTTAGGCTGGGGCAAAGGTTGCCCAGCCATAATCTTCTGCTTCCTATTTGTAACTGTGTGAGTTTGTATTCCCAGGTCCTTTCTCTCTGGTTACTCACCGCTCCCCGTTGGGTGCCTAACTATTTCTCTGAATGGTTTGAAATGTTTAGATAATTCTGTCACAAGAGTTATTTGATTGTTTTACTTCTGGTGTTAAATTGGCCTGGCGACCAGTGGTGGGATTCAAAAAGCTTTACCACCGGTGGCTTAGCGGGCACTGTTCTGCTTATTATTCTCTGGATGGTATAAAGCAGACAGAGTAACTCCACAAAACATCCATAACAAAGTCTTTTTTATTGGTTCATCAGGTATCCTCATAACTCACATTTGTGACAAAGTTCTTCTGAATGCCCAATCCCTTGCATATCTGTCTTGTAGTGTAGGAAGATAATAAGGTCTCAACCCCATGATGATTGAAGAAGCCGCATGGTAATGGCTTCAGGCAAGAGTGAGGGAGACTGACCCACCAAGGGTCACTATAGTGACCAATCAGGATTACAGATGTGGTCACGTGACATGGACTACATTTCCCAGGATACCTACATTTACTACATTCCCTACATTTACTACATACATTTAACTGCATTCCCTTAAGGGGACAGCTCACAATTCCTAAGTAACTATCCCAAATCACATTAACTCTAAACTGTCTGGACAGCACAGGCGCGCTTTGCACATGTGCACACACTTTGCGTGCGCGTGAGCACCAAACACGCACTTTGCACAGGCGCAGAGGCATTCCAACTCACCTCCTGCAAGCATGCACTCTCCCGGTTGCTTCAGCAGCTGCCGCGTGGCACTCTTCTGTGCCGCGCAAAGCAGCTGCGCTTCAGAAGCAGAGGATAAAGGTGAGTATGGGAGCCCAGGTGGGTGGGTGGGCCAAACAGCAGAGCGGTGGAGAGAACTGGTTCGGTCTCCGCTGCTCATCGCTGCTACCGGCTCGGCAGTACCAGGCTGAACTGGTAGAATACCACCATTGCTGGCAACCATCTTAGAATGGAGAATGTGAAATCTAGTCCTGTGTTAGGCCTGAAAGCCAGCTGGATGACCTTTTAAAATTTAATTTAATCCTCCCTTTATTATTTTTATAAATAACTCAAGGTGGCAAACCTATCAACACACCTTCTACCTCCTATGAATTTATGGTTTCCCCACTTTCTAGCCTGGTGCTTTAACCAGTGGACTAAACTGGATCTCTAAATAATTTTGGGCCTATCACCAGGACAGTGTTAGGCATAAGGTTGTGTGGGGTTTTTAAATTATTTTTTCCTCTATCTTTATTATTATTATTTATAGGGATGGCAAACATAGCCAACACACCTTCTTTCTCCTATGTTCCCCACAACAACCCTGTGAAGTGAGTTGGACTGAGAAAGAGTCACTGGCCCAAAGTCACCCAGCCGGCTTTCATGGCTAAGGCGGGACTCAAACTCACAGACTCTAGCTAGATGCCTATCTATACTTCCTGGTGAGAGAGTAGTTCCCTGAGGATGAGCTCCAGTCCAAAAAGCTCGGAAGACTAAACCTCTGGTTCCAGTAACCGACCCAGATTAGATCCTGCAACATTATCCTGGGGGATGTATATTTGCCTTCATTCATGGATGTGTTTGCCGCTTTGAGTTATTCATAAAAAATAATAATGGTGGGGTGAAAAAAGGTAATAAACAAATAAAAATGTGCATCATTATTCATCTGCAGATATTTCTATATTGCCCAGTTCCTAGAAAATGACAGAAATGTCTGAACATTTTTATTTTCAAGCATGCATTTCTGGAAGTGTATGTTTACTGAAGTATATTATCTTAAAATGCTTCTTTTTAAACCCCATTTTTGAGTACAAAATTCAGACACACAGAAATCTTGAAGAAGCTGTGTCAGAAGCCACTTTTCAGTAGCATGCGTAACTTCTACACTCTCATTCACTGTTTTGCTTATGATTTGGGCAGATTTGCCTCCAGTCCCCTGTGTTTTCGTCTTAAGGTAGAAGAGTTCCATAGCTGACGCCCAGTCCCAATTCTATTCTCCAAGACCAGAATAAACTGAAGAAATTACTGGATGATATGAGATGTCATGATCAGGGCAAGTAGATAACTCACACAAATGGGAGAAGATATTTAAAAGTTATATGAGAGGTAATAATAATTGAAGTTTGTGCCTAATCAAGGAGAGAACCAACCTTGAACTAAGGTGAAATTTCTGACAGTTAGAATAAATAATCAGTGGAATAATTGTCTCCCGAAGTTATGGATGTTCCATCAAGGGAGGTTTTAAAGAAGACATTGGACAATCTGACAATTCCTGCTTGAGCAAGGGGTTGGAATAGAAGACCTCCAAGGTCCCTTCCAACTCAGTTATTCTGCTATTTTATTACATCTTCATTTCTTAGATACCTTTTGTTGTTCTGATGGACCCATATTAGCATGGATAAAGGGTCTGGAGACTAAATCGCATGATGAGCAGTTGAAGAAAGTAGGTATGTTTAGCCCAATGAAAAGAAGGATTGGGGTGACATCAGGGGTGGGACTCTACCAGTTTGCACCTATTCGCTAGAACCAGTTGTTAACATTCTAAGCCGTTTGGAGAACCGGTTGTTAGAAGAAATTACTGGCCTAATCCTGCAAGGAAGGCAGGAAGGAAACATTCTGGTGTTGCTTATTGAAACTGCCTCTCCATTAACCCTTATTACATTCTTGGCAGGACTAGACTTCCTGTCTCAGGAACTTCTCTGGAATTTTTCCCCCCTCCTTTGCTGGTACTTTACTTGTGTGGAGTGACCATTCAAAGTTACAATGGCACTGAAAAAAGGGAATTATGACCATTTTTCACACTTACGACTGTTGCAGCATCCCCACAGTCATGAGAGGCCAGGCGAGGAGATGCGTGCCTCGATGTGAGGGATATTGAGTTGGCCACGCCCAGCCAATAACATGACCACCAAGCCACATCCACCCAGTCATATGAGCACAAAGCCACGCCTACCACCTAAGCCATGCCCACAGAACCGGTTGTTAAAAAATTTGAATCCCACCCCTAGGTGACATGATAGCACTCTTCCAATATCAGAGGACCTGCCATAGAGAAGGTGGCATCCAAAGGACCAGAGGGTAGAACAAACAGCAATGGGTGGAAGCTCATTAAATAGATATCCAACCTGGAACTAAAGATAAATGTCCTGACAGAGAGAACAATTAGAAAATGGGATAGCTTGCCTCCCGCAGTTGTGGGTACTCCATCCCTGGAAGTTTTCAAACGTAGACTGGACTGGGATAGTATAAAGACTCCTGCCTCGAACAGAGGGTTAGACTAGATAATCTCCATGGTTCCTTCCAGCCCTATGATTCTATGTTCTGATTCTATAGCACAATTTGCCAATGCAACAAGAACTCCATCCTCAACATTTTTTAAAAGTCCCCATCCCAAAAAAAATTTTTTTTTTAAAAGCCCCTGGAAAAAAGAAAAAATATCTCAATTTCAAGCTTAGAGATGATTTTAAGTCCCAGAGGAAAATGAAGCAATTTAGTGGCTGCTGGCCTAACGCAGCAAAGGTTAGAAGATTAAAAGACCAACTGCTGCTTGGGTAAGTGGTTGATAATTGCACACCCTAGCAATTACTGTGCTTGGTCTCCTGTCTGTCTTACCTTTTTTTTCCCTCGTGTGCCATCAGGGTTGATTCGAAATGTCCCCGAATTTACAGTCCTTCTTGGTCCAATTTTCTTGATCTCATACTCCAACTCATCAGCAAGAGCCTTACATGCTGTAGAGTACAAAGGAAAAGAAGTACGGAGAGACATCCTCTTTCCAAAAAGATCCCGATAGAAAATACAACAGTCAGTGGAGGAAACTGACACGAATACTGAGAGAGCTATTTGCAGCCAAAGTATATTCCAAAACATGGACTTAACATAGCCATTCAAACATGTTGTCACCATAAAATAATATATAGCCGGGCCAGAACCTCACTGTAGTTTTTTTTTCTCCTTCTGAGAATAATTCTTGGAAAGAAGATTTGGACATCACAGTGTCATGTGCAATGTTGTTGGCACTGATGACAATAGCTATTTTATTCAGGTGGTGGTGGTGGTGGTAATTCTTGTACATTGATTGAAGCTACATTTTAAAGGCTGTGTGATGACCCGGGGCGTGGCACAAAGACAACACAGCCAAATAAGCAAGAAGTGTCCCTTTAGTGCCTCCAACTTTGCCCCCAATGTCCAGGTTACCTTCAGCTGGAGAAAAAACTCTCCCAAGAACAGTCTTTAAGTGGAGGAAATTCAGTCCGAAAACAAAGTACATACAAACTTTAAATAGAAATCCACACAAACCACGCTGCAGCAATTAACTTGACAGGGCATGAGAAGGAATTGCAGACTTGAAAGCCCAGTAACACACACACAGGAAGACGCCAGGAACCCAGATAAGCCTAGATGATACCAGATAATTCATGGTTTGTTCCCAACAACTATGTTGTGCGCAGCTTCCCTTTTTAAACACTGTGTTCCCAGCTGCAGCTAATGAAGGGAATCAGGGCTCTTTCCTCCCCCATAAGCCACACAGCTCATGTTGCTCCCTTCTCTGTTCCTCCCTGCTTGCCCTAGGATGAAGAGAGGGTGGGCCTGGATCTTCCTCCAAATTCCCTCTCCCTTGCTCTCCCTCTCCCCTGCTCTGCCCAGCTGGCCTTTGCCCTTCCCCAGTTTCTTCCATAGCCAACGGAGCCACACTCCCACTCCCTGTCAGTTGCTCGGCCTCCCCCTCGGAAACAGATTCCGACAGGGGCATGACAGACTGGTTGTGCCTGAGATGGCACCATCCTCACCTGTGCTAAGCCAGGATATGTGGCTGCAGCTAAATGTTATCCCCCTGTTGTTTATTATCTCGGAAACAAAGTAAATATGTGTCCCAAAGAAATAATATTATGCTCATTCATAATTTGCTAAATTCTGAAATGTCTGAGGCAAACCAAATAAGAGGTTCAAAAGGGCAGTGTTGAGAAAGGCAAAGGAAAAATAGGTGTTTTTTTTTTTTTAAAAGAAAGGAAGCAGTGCCAGAGCTGATAGGTCGTACAAAGGTTGCAAGTGATAGTATTGGCGGTATTTATTTCAGTGTTTCCCAACCAGGCAACTTTGAGATGTGTGAACTTCAGCTCCCAGGGTCCCTATAAATGGCCATGATGGTGATGGAATGCTAGGATTTGAAGTCCAAACGTCTCAAAGCTGCCCTGGTTTATATACAAGTGGTCCTTATGAATGTTTATTCAGTAATTGTTCAAAATTATAACAGCACCGAATGAAGAGACTTCTGAACCGGGCTGAACCGGTAGCATACCACCACTGGTCCTCATATGACCTGTGATGACCCGGGGCATGACACAAAAATAACTAAGTCAAAAAAATAGAAGAAAGTCCCTTTAATGCCTCCAATTTGGCACCAATGTCCAATTATCCTTGACAGGATATCAAATTCTTAAAGAAAACAGTTTACGGAGGGAGTAAATGCAGTCCACACCCAAAGTAAAGTTAATTCAAAATAAAAATAACCCAACATAAACCACATTGAAGGAATTACTACGGCAGGCAAAGATGATTAATTGCAGACTTCTACCAGATAACGCAGCAACCACAGTTGTGAGGAAGCCAAAACACAGATAAGCTCCGACAAGAATGCACGCTTTGCTCCCAGCAACTTTGCCATGCACAGTTTGTCCTTTTAACCAGTCCTCTCAGCTGCAGCCCATGAAGGGGATCAGGGCCCCTTCCTCTCCCATAGACCATGCCACTCACTTTTCTCCCTTATCTGCTCCTCCCTGCATGCCCTAGGAGGAAGAGGGGATGGGCCTGGGTCTTCCTCTGAATGCCCATCCGGCCTGTGCCCTTCCCCAGTTTCCTCCACAACCACCGGAGCCACACTCCCACTCCCTGTCAGCTGTTCACCTCTCCCTCGGAGTCAGACTCCAACAGGGGCATGACGTGACTGCACCTGATTTTCATGACCCTTTTTATGGCAGTTGTTAAGTGAATGTGGTGATTATTAGCAAACCCATTGCTTACTATGGGACATGTTTTACAAAAAAAATTAAAAGTATGTGCCATAATATCATATAAGTACGGGATGCTGTAAATGTGGGTCAGTTTTGTATGTGGGTTGTAAGTAGCCTTTTCTGGCTCCTGGCTCAATTGTAATTTTGAATGGTTGCTAAGCAACCAGTCAAAAGTTGAGGAATCCCTATAATTTATGGAATTTATGGAATTTATGTAACAGTGAAACCCACAAACAAAAGGTACTTGGGAATTATGGTGGCAAGGCTAGATAAAATGTGTGCATCTCTCTCTCTTTCTCTCTCTCTCTCTCCCTCCCTCCCCCCTCCCCCCCTCTCTCTCTGTGTGTGTTTGTGTGTACACATGTGTTCATTATAGAGACTGGCAAAGCATAGGATGGACTACATGGCTGGGAATCAAACTGAAATGTTTCTTTTTTGCTCTTTTGAATTCAAAACTCATTTACAGGCAGTCCTTGACTTAAAACAGTTCATTTAGTGACCGTTCAAATTACAGAGGCACTGAAAAAAGTGACTTCTGACCCTTTTTCACCCTTATGACCATTGTAATATCCTCATGATCATGGGATCAAAACTCAGGCACTTGGCAACTGATTCACATTTATAACGGTTGCAAGTGATCACCTTTTGCACCTTCTGACCAGCAAAGTCAATGGGGAAATCCAGATTTAGTAAAGACCATGTTACTAAGTTAACAATTGCAGGGATTCACTTAACAAGCATAGCAAGAAAAGTCATAAAATGGGGCAAAAACTAACTTAACAAGTGTTTCACTTAGCAACATAAATTTTCAGCTCAATTGTAGTTGTAAGTCAAGGACTACCTGTATTCCTTTGGTTGCTTCATTTACTCTTCGGGCTTTATGTATGCTCAACTTCCAAAGACCTCAGAAATTGACATTCTTAGCCAATTAGGATTCGTTGCGACTGTTTGAAAATAGTTTCAACCTGGTTTGTTAGCCAGTTTGGAGGATTAAACTGAATTATTTTTTTGAACCTGCTCTGATGTTTTGGAAGTAGAGGGACGTTGTTTGAAAAGCTGTAGTTTTGCAGAACACATGGATGGCCTGTCTTTTACTGGGTGAAACTCTCACGTCTCCCATCCTTCAAGTGTTGGCTGTAACCTATAAATGCCTACATGGCATAAGGCCTGGTTACTTGAGGGACTGCCTGTCTCTCATAACATCTGTCCAGCAGATGTTTGATCCTGTACAGCTGATACACTCTGGGTTCCTTTGATTAAACAATGCTATCTATTGGGACCCCAGAAACACACCTCCTTTGAAGCAGCACCTGCCCTCTGGAATGAGGTCCCCCTGAGATATAAAGGCCCCTGAAGACATTCCCCCCGGCCTTTGGCAAAGAAGACCCTTCCCTTCTTTGCTCTTGCCATCTTATTTCCTCATCTATTCTTTATTATTTTCATTTATTAAGTTATATCATGTCTATTATTTTTTTTATAAACACTTCAAGGAGGTGAACATGTCTAATACACCTTCTTCCTCCTATTTTCTCCACAGCAACAACCTTGAGAGATGGGATGGACTGAGACAGAGTGAGTGGCCCAAAGTCACCCAGTTGGCTTTCATGCCTAAGGCGGGACTAGGACTCACACTATCCTGGTGATTGATCTAAAGCCGTGATGGCGAACCTATGGCATGCACGCCACAGGTGGCATGCAGAGCCATTTGTGTGGGCATGTGAGCACCTGGCAAACTTACCTCATTGCGCATGCATGTGCCTCACCGCTGATTTTTGGCCCATTTGAGGCCTTTTTCAGGCTGCCAGAGGCTTGAGGGAAGCCTCTGCAGCCTTTGCAGGCTGAAAAATAGGCCCGTTTTGTCACTTCCTGTATTTCTGGAAATACTGGAAGTGATGAAACAGACCCATTTTTTGGCCTGCAAAGGCTGCAGAGGCTTCCCTCAAAAACTTTGGCCACCACTGGTCTAAAGTCACCCAATTGGCTTTCATGCCTAAGGCAAAATATAACTCATCATATAACTCATATAATCATTAGGGAGCCTCGGTGGCGCAGTGGTTAGAGTGCAATACTGCAAGCTACTCCTACTGCAATTTGACAGTTCAAATCCTACCAGGCTCAAGATTGACTCAGCCTTCCATCCTTCCGAGGTGGGTAAAAGGAGGAGCCAAATTGTTGGGGGCAATATGCTAACTCTGTAAACCGCTTTGAGAGGTCTGTAAAGCACTATAAAGTGGTATATAAGTCTAAGTACTATTGCTATTGCTATAAGGTCATGCCTACATGCGCAGGGATGGGGGCTGCACACGTTGCCTTCTGGGTGATGGAGCGCATGCACAATTATCGGCACGGAAGCCGAAAAAGGATATGCACCACTGGCCTAGTGATTGACCCAAAGTCCCCCAGCCAGCTTTTAGGACTAGACCTCACTGTCTCCCAGTTCCTATCCTGCTGCCTTAACCCCTATTATCTATCATGATTATTGTATTGTACTTTCTATCTTTGATTGCCCAGAATTATTTAAAGCCAGGCACAGAGGTGGTATTCAGCAGGTTCTGACCAGTTCTGGAGAACTGGTAGCGGAAATTTTGAATAGCTTGGAAAACCAGCAAATCCCACCTCTGACTGGAGATTTTACAGTATCCTTTCCCTGCCACATCCACCAAGCCACGCCCACAGAACTGGTACTAAAAAAAGTTGAATCCCACCACTGGCCAGGCAGC